CATCCTTTCTGTCACAATGGGTGCCTTAATGGGGTGGTAATTTTCTGTCCCTTTTTTTCTACTCGTTATCACACTGGTACTAAAAACCAAATCCATTAGCATTTAATTTGTTTTTAATAAAGGAGAAAGCTTTGAAATACTCAGGCAGTCAGCAGCTGATTGCTGTGTGCTGTTGTGTCAGGTGAGGTGAGTGGCTCTTTTGCACACAAACCACATGGTGTTTTTCACTGCAGTACCTCTCGCACTATATTAATTTTAAAATTACTGTTTTTTATTTCTAGCTTCTGACTTGAAAAATTGATTGTTTATAAGCACATAATGCTGTCATTTACTAGGCTCTTCCTAGAATGAAACACTTTAAAGTAAATGTTTATTTCATGTGTAAAAGCCCACTGGACCTATTAACCGCTAAGATGCAGTGGAAATGATTTCCTCGTTAGTGGTGTTTCCTAAGGGTAGCTTCACTGTTACTGCTGTGCGTACTTTACAGTTAGGGATACAAAACTCTAACTCTAGATATTAAACTTTGATTTGTATCTTGCTGCACAATATTTTCTTATTTTATATTATAGATCACTGTCATTTTCACCATACTATAATATAATATTTGTGTAAATATTTATAAAAAGTTTACTATTATATTATATTACATTACATTATATTATTTAACTGCATTCTGTGGTGGAAATGACTGAAGATGATATTTTTAACAGTTGGAATAAAATGGCTGCATTTAAAATGCATACACTTTTTATGAATGCTAAATAAATAAATAAATATGATTATTATAATTAATGTAAATAATTAGTATAAAAGACTTTAATTGCTCTTATATTCTGTGGTGGAACTGACAATGATGAAGATTGCAGATTGATGAAGATGAAGATTTTTTTTTGGGGGGGGTCTGTATTATCTGTATTAAATAATAGGTAACACTTTACTTAAAGCCTTTATGTATAATGCATTTCAATTATTCATAATGTGCATTGTAATACATCTTGTCATAAATAATTATAACCAAATTTAAAATGCATAATGTAACAATGAATTGATTAGTGTTATAATATATTAACTGTGGTTACAATTATTCATGAGACAGTACACAATGCATGATAAGGTGCATTACAAGGCATAACTACTTTTATAATGCATTATAAATAAATTGTTACCAAATAATATTTACCCTGGTCCTGGAGGCAGACCAACACTGCACATTTTGCATGTCTCCTTTCTCTGACACACCAATTTCAGGTCTTGGAGTCTCTACTAATGAGCTGATGACCTGAATCAGCTGTGTTTGATTAAGGAGACATGCAAAACGTGCAATGTTGGGGTGCCTCCAGGACCAGGGTTGGGAACCACTGGCATAATGCCATTATAAATGCATTTCCTTTCCTGAGTCATTATGGTACAGCAAAACACCATCCAGTTGTTAATGGTGATGAATTCTAGATTTGTGCCGCAGAGCACATACATCCTCTCAAACAGACAAATAGGTCTTGCCACTTGTAAAGAAGACACTAAAACCAGGCATGAAATGTGGAATTGCCATCTGACATTCCTCTGGAGTTTATGGAGGAGGCTGTTAAACAGCAGGGAAAAGTTGTTTGAGTTAAAGTACCGATACTGAGCTGAAGAGATGACAACAGGAAGCTGCCATTCTGCTGTCTCAACCCACACTGATGATGCACGTTTGCATGGTGACACCCGCTGTTTTCCTCTCTGACTTCACAAATTCCACTTAAAGACTTAATAACGCAGCTATAATTGGGATTTTTCTGAAGCTTCGTTCATTAGGGACGGCCCACTCATCCTGACCCAGAGCGCCTCAGCCATGCCCTTGCATCTGACATGCAGCATTTTTCAGAGTGCTGCGTCTCCTCATGAATATTTAATTAGAAGACTCACAGAGGGAGTCCTAAATATTCCGTGTCATGCCACTTCAGAGCCGCAGGTGCTGGAATTAAAGGGAAAGAGATGCACAGAAGTGTCACTGTTTTAGTAATTTGCTTGTTCTTGCAGGTTTTAGGGCTTGGATTAAGGTTGCATTCATCTTTATCGAAGGAATAGGTCACCTCAAAATAATGATGTCTTAATTTTCTCATGTCATTGCAGACCAGTATGACTTTCTTCTGTGGAACATTAAATATGTTGAACATGTATTGCTGCTCTTATCCAATAAAAAAAGGACAAAAAAAGAAAAGAAAGAAAAAGTAGTCCATTTAACATGCACACACACACACCGAGAGAAATACATAGGATATAAATAACTTTAAAATAAAATACAGAAAATAAAATGTCTTTTCATCCTATTATATTATAATTAATTATCCTATTTTTATCTTTCAATTTCAGTGTTACTTGCAGGAGATTGTTGGCTGGGATGAAAAATGAAAATGCAATTATTAATGTCTCTCACGTTTTAATATAAATAAAAAAATTAATGATTTTCAGAATAATTTTTGCAGACCTACTCTTATGCTGTTTTTTTGCCCTTTTTTGAGCTTTTGGACTGTTCAAATGTCATTGTGTTTCACATAAGTCATACAGGTTTAAAATGACAAATACAGAAGTGTTTATTTACTGAAATGTGAATATGTGGCTTGGGTCTTTCCTCCATTGCCATTTTTATTTTATTTTATTATTTATTTTTTTATTTATTTTTAATCTTTAATTTGTGCAACGTTTGGAGCAGAATATTGGCCAGGATATAGAATTACCTAAAACAATATATATATATACAATTATTCATGTCTTTTTATTAATTAAATAATAAATGAATAGCTTATCAGAATAATTGTTAATTGCAGGCTTACTCTTGAGTTGCTTTTTTGTCTTTTTTGTAGCTTTTGGATTTCTCAAATTTCATATTGCGTGTTCCACATAAGAAAGAAAGTCATACAGGTTTGGAACGACATGAGGGTAAGCAAACGTTGACCAAATTTCTATTTGGTGAATTGCCCCTCAGTGCCCCTGGTCTTTTACACCTTAATACTGCACATGTAAATTTATATTATCTGCCTTTTTAAAAATAAACCGTGCAGGACTACCCTTTCTACAAAAGATTAAACTAATGATTTTATACCGGAACTTTATGGAAAGACTTCTTAGAGGAACAGGAATCTCACAAAGCTCTTTGAGCAGCACCATCAAAGCGCCGACAGGGCCCTCTGATTTAATGTTGTAGTCATGTTCTTGTTTACCTGTGCTCCTGTTGACTCGAGTTCTCTCTAAAATGCTCCCATGGACTGGAGTTGCACTAAATTGGAGTCTCTGGGAGAAAGATAAAAGCTTCAAGTTTGTGTCATCCTGTCTGGTTCTGTTCTCCTGCTGTCACATGAACGGTCCAGGAGGAGCAGCTTCAGAAATCTCTTTGTTGTTTCCATCCCAGCTTGAGCTTTTTAAAAGCAAGAGAGCATCTATGAACTTCAGGAGAGCCTCTGAGGAATTGAGGGCATTGACTTGATGGATCAAAGCTACTTTGAATAAGCTTGGTTTCAGCACTCCACGGTTTTCTTTATGAGCAGTGCGTGGCCTTGGATTTCACCAGCCCACATGCTGCATCTCCACTAAATCTCAGTTCACTCAGAAAACATGCTAGAGATTTTCAGGATTTGCCACAAGACACATAAGTTGAGTTCACCTCAAGCTTACAGCCTTGGGTCAATCTCATGTTGAAGTCTCGAGATTTAATATTTCAGTTTCCAGCTTGACTGTCTATGTGTTTCAGAGGTATTTTTATGAATACACATTCTGTCTATTCAGTGTACTATTTTAGCATTGTTCACATAGAACTGAGGGTTTTGGTTGTCTGTTGTAGAACAGCTGAGAAAAAAAAAATAGTTTTTGGGCCTTTATGCTTTTTTTTTTTTTCTTTTCTGTGATTTATGCATACTGCAACATAACGATTGTTCTTCTATTGTTTTTTGCGTACTTATTTTTGTTAACTTTTCTATTCTTCAATGAAGTCTCTACTCCCTGAAACAGCACTACTGTCACCCCAGTTATTAATACTTAAGCTAGAATCTGCTTTATTTGCAAAAATGCTTCAGGTTGAGAACAAAAACATGAGTAGAGTCATATTTTTTCCCAGAATTGTTGCAAAAATATGCACTGCAGTTGCATAGGTGTTCTGAGTGGTTGTAAGTGCGTTGCTAGGTGTCAAAAGTTAAGAGAGCACTCTCCTAAGTATGATATTCTGGTCCCTATATGTGGCTTGGGTCTTTCCTCCATTGCCATTTTTTATTTTATTTTGTTTTGTTTTATTATTTTTATAAAAATATATTTTTATAATTTGTATTTTAAAACACGTTTTTATATATTATATAAAATAATAATTTTATAATATTTTTATTTATTATAAAAAATTATTAGTTTTGTCCTAAAAGGTGAACGTTTTTTATTTATTTTTCTTATTTTGTTTCTTTAATTACATTTTAAATGTACAATAAAAATTTATATATATTTTTTTTTATTTTATTTTTTATTATATATATATATATATATATACATATACATATACACTTCCCATTCGTGTGTCCAAACTTTTGACTGGTACTGTATATAGAATACAGTATATACATAAACTGAATATATATACATAAACACATTTTTAGCAATGATAACTCAAATGTGGTGATCAAACATTTATAATGATGTGACAGAAAATATGTAATAGAGGCAGGGTATTTAACAACTTAACAATAAACTTTATTACCCAAAATGAGCATGACATCAGAGCACTTAACAGTAAACTTCACATCACTTATTATAAATACCTTTAAAACACAAACAGAAAAAATAAAAAAAAATATATAAATAAAACTTGATTTAAGAAAATAAAGAAGGTAACTGATATGTCTGCGACAGGCTAAAATCGGCAAACGATATATCGGTCGGGCTCAAGTTATGGGTTTGTTCACATCTGTAAATCTAGGTATAGTAAAGCTATGATTCTTTGCTTAAATTCTTCTTTGCATTGTCTTCTCTATTTGTCATAGGCACACTTTCTGGCAGTACCGCAAAGAGAATCCGAAGTCCCGTGTGGGTGACCCTCCACCAGACGGCCTGCCCGGCTTCAACAGCGGCGTAATGCTTCTGAACCTCGACTCCATGCGTCGCTCTACCTTATACAACCAGCTTCTGGAGCCCGAGCGGGTGGCTCGCCTTGCAGAGAAATACCACTTCCGGGGGCACCTAGGTGATCAGGATTTCTTCACGATGATCGGGATGGAGCACAGGGAACTGTTTTACCCACTGTCCTGCGGCTGGAACCGACAGCTTTGCACATGGTGGAGGGAACACGGGTATGGTGACGTCTTCCAGCTGTACTATCGCTGCGATGGGCCGGTGCACATCTACCACGGCAACTGCAACACTGCCATACCTGATTATTGAGGTTCAAAGTGCGCCTTTGAATGCCAACTTTTAGATTAAACTCATTTTGTTTGCACATCTTGAACAACTTTAAATCAAGTGGACCAAGGCAGAAGGGGCTCTTTGTTAGAGGTGCTAATAGTGCAGCATTCCCATGACTAATCACATTTACACAATATAACACCGCTGAGTCTGTTGGTGCCTTTCCAAAGTTACTGAAAGTATGCTGGGTTAAATACCAGTTGTTTTTCTTTATTTAAAGAATGCAGTGAGGCTTTGACTCTCAGTAGTCTGAGTTTCCTCATGCAGGTGTCTCATTAAATCACTCTTAGACAGCAGGTTGTTAAAAAGAGCCAATCAGAGTCTTTTTCTCCTTCTAATTTCACTCTGTATCGTTTACAGGTGCAGTTGCACTCTTGCAGTCACATTAAGGTACCACTTATCTTCGCTTTAAAATGTTGCTGTATATATTTTTACTAGTTTTAACCTCTCATCTTCAATAATGTGAAATGAATTCCCACTTTAAGCCACATTTCCCACTCAATCGCAAATGTTTTTATGCAGTGATGATAACGAGGGGGAAAGGATGTTGACCCATTTTCCTGAGTTTTTATGCGCTGATTTTGGAAAGCCGTTTCTCTGTGATGTGCAACTGAATCGCCTTAGAATAGCCAAGATAACATCTCAGATCGGAGGTCTCATTCTTGCCGAGGTGGTCTGATCCGCCTGAGAAATGTGGAAGTGAGATTTGCTGGAATATTCCAAAGGGAACAGCCTCTGCCCTGAGGGAGAAATGCGCTAGATTCTAGGGCAGAGCACTAACTGTTGTGGTTGGCTGGCATTTATTGAGCGATGTTGCTGTTGGCGAAACTCTGCGGGGTTGTGTGAATTGCTCGTAATAACCTGTGCAATGTCAAATCAACAGGCCAGAGAGAAAGAACTTAGTAATCAGGCCTCACATGGCAGCCATGAGATCCCACTTTAAGTGCTTCTGTGTCCAGTATGGTGAGGTTAAGGACTGCGTGTCTAAGGGATTTTCAGTGAATTTGTCTTTTGTTTTTTTGGGAGTGCGGTCATGTTTTTTCTAGCTGTTTTAGACCGACTTTTGCCTGATCAAGTGAAAAGCAGTGTTTAAAAAAGTGTTTAACTAATTAACCTTTAATCTGCTAGTCCAATCACATGAAGTATACATTTTTTTTGTGTATTAATGTTCATTGGGTCTCATCCTGAAAGATGAGCAGAGCATATTTCTGTGTAAATCTTAATTTGTACATTATCGTTCAAAAACTGGGGATAGGAAAGATTCATGTGCCGGTATTCGGTAATACAATATATCACAATAAAGAACATGTACAATTTTGTTATCATGGGCTCTTCAAAATACCATGAATTATTTATTACAGATTTTTCTTTTTTTGGAATGCATTTTAAGAATATGCACAACACCGCTTTGTGCTGCTTCAAAGAGCTCCGGGTGTTTGTTCACTTCTCACTGCTGTGTGTGTTTACTTGGATGGGTGAAATGCAGAGCACAAATTCCGAGTATGGGTCACCATACTTGGCCACACATCACGTCCTTTCCTTTCCTTTCTTTGAATATATTAAATATATATATATATATATATATAAACTAGGGCTGTCATCGTTAACACGTTAACGCATGCGATTAATTTTACAATCCTTAACGCATTAAAACAATTTAACGCAAAATTACTGAAGCACAATTTCTATTCTAACCCTTTAACCCAATTTTGCTTCTCTGCTTGCGATCAGATAATTTTAAGCTGCTTAAACTCGGGGAAAGTTTTCAGTCCAATGATCCAGGAAGCGAATGCGTTCAAACAATCCGTCCAAAACAGCGCTAATATAAAGGAAACCAGGCTGATTACATCAGAGATTGCATAGAGAACAGAGACTCGCGTGGCGTTTTCAGTGATTATTTCATTATTCCAGTGTGTTTGGCTTTAAAACACGAGCTCTGTCATATTCTGTGATTGTCTCTGAAGAGCGCGAGCCCTCACACATCACACACGCTTTGTGAAGTAGCCTACAGACGGATTGTCAGCACATCCCACCGATGTAGATGAGACGCAAACTACGGTTTCTCGACTTGATAACCACTAGTAGAGTAGTAGATAACCACTTGATCTCGTTAGTAGAGTTTTGATGGATGAAGACTGCAATCAAGACGATTTCAGTGGCGTACAGGAGTCGTACAGTAAGCACGCGCGAGTCCATTATAATAATGCGTGTATGAGTGCTCTTGACGCACTGATCGCACATTGTATTTATGCACAGTCACAGACATTTACGTACATTTACGTTGTTTCCACACATATTCATGATAATGTTTTGATTTGTCATGTGTATGTTGCTGTGTTTAGTTTTTCTGAATGGATCCGTGTACTTTAGTAGATATATGCAGTCAGCCTTTACTTTAGTAGATATATGCAAACATTTGAAACAAGATAAATGGTCTGTGCTAAATTTCATGAAGTGTGCGATTAATCGTGATTAATCACAGAAAAAGGGTCTTTTAATCAGTGTTTAAAGAAACGAGAGCATTTATTTGAAAAAGAACGCTTGATAAATTTAATGCATCCTTGCTGAATAAAAGTATTAATTAAATTTTTTTTTTTAATCTTACCAATCCCAAACTTTTGAACGATAGGCTCATAAAGACTCTTACCTACTCTTTACCTTGTTTTTTCCCCCCTAAAGGAATCTCTCGGGGAAGTTTGATGGAACAAAAGATCTTAGTATAAGGAAAATGTAATAAGACCTCCACAAACTACACTTCTATGTAGTACAGGTTATTCTTTCTACATAACCACCTGTTTGTCCTTCAATTTTGAGTACTGAGTGTAATACACACACTTGTTGTGTAAAATATGTTGTGTCATAGAAATTGAATGTATTAATTAACAAAACTCCAGAAGTGAAGGTGCATCAAATTTGTAATATATGTAGTACATCTTTCTCTTCATGCAAATATATTGGTGGTCTGAATAAAATGTCCTTCTATTTCCTATAATCCTATTACATTTTCTTTTATGTATTAGTATTCTACATGTAGCCTTAGTCTACATGTGTTTGCATGTACATAGGTATTGCTATATCAGTTTCATTTTGAAGTGGAGCTCTTACAATTGGTAGATGACTCTCCAGTTGAGTATCCAGCATGGGTTTCACTTATTTGATCAAGCATCCTTATGTGTTGTGCAGAGGCCTGTGTCCTTTAATCCCAGGTTCAACATGTTCCAATTTTCTTTGGTCCCCCTGCTCTGTGTCTTATGCTCTCCTCATGTTCTGTATGTACATGATTTATGTATAAAGCATCTAAGAGTGGCAGTTAGTATCGACTTGATTAAAATGAACAGCAAAATTTAGGGCTAATCCTCCAACCTCCCCAAAAGGTTGCAATTCATATAACTCTTTTCTGATTCATCCCTACTTTGTATTAAATTGCTCTCCTATCCTCAACTATAAGGCTTGTGTCATGATACTGTCACGTTGTCCCTAGTAGAGGCGACTAGATTTTTGCACTGTGTGTAAAATGTGCTCAATAACTTTTCCAGTTTTTGCTATTGTGTTCTGAATGGTTTAAATTGTAATATTTCACAATATTATAGTTTTTACTGTATTTTTAATCAAAGAAATTCAGCTTTGGTAAGACTGTTACTTACCGAAAAAAATCCAAAACACAAATTAAATAACTCTTACTGATCCAACACTTTTGAACAGTATTGTAATTGCCAAATCTCAAAATGACTCTCTATTTTTCGTGCTGTATGTTATATTGTTGTAAAGCCTTCATTTTCAATATAGGCTATAGATTTTAGTTTTATTTTTTTAATTCATCCAGAAAAAATGTTAAAGGTCTTTAACAATGGGCTGATAATTGATTATCAGTTTTAACATGAAACTAGTTATCACAGTATCTGTATTGACCACATTTTATATCAGTCCTTTTCAGCCGGATGAAATAGTTTTTTTTGTCCCGTCTCCTCAGGCCCCTGGTTGTCAGTAAGATGTCGGTCATTTGGGCTTTGCTCACACTCAGAAAGCTGCAGGTGAGGGCAGCACTGACCTACATTACTGTGGCACACTAACCTATTTTTCCACTTCTAAAATTGTATCCTGATATTTTTGTTTGTTTATTGTCATGGAAGCACCAGGTGCATCCGTTGATGGTTTGTCCTATAAATCTGGAAATGAGTTATATAAAATTTTGTGCAGGTGCATTATTATAAAATGAATGATTCTGAAAGTGTTTGTGTGATATTCTAGAACTAAATGTCCAGCTCAAGACATTCATACATTTTTTTACCAGTTACTTATTCAACAATGTCCGTTGCATGCATGTTTTAATTATGCATATCTTGGTTCAATGAAAGTCAGTGAGGTTCAATTTAGTTTTAGACCCCACTGGGTATCATCTTTTAATAAATCTAGTTATATAAATTTTATTAGTGCAGGTGAATTATTATAAAATAAAAGAAAGTTTCAGTGTGATTATTTAGAGCTAAATATCCATTATTTAGTTTTTAAAGGGATGGTTCACCCAAAAATAAAAATTATGTCATTAATTACTCACTCTCATGTCGTTCCAAACCCATAAGACCTTATTTTTTATTTGTTTCCATTACAATGAAAGTCAATGGTGTCCAGTGTTGTTTTAAACCCCGGTGACTTTCATTTATTGAAAGAAAAAAATCTAATATCTTAAATATCATCTTTGTGTTCCACAGAAGAAAGCAAGCTGTACAGGTTTGTAACGATAAGATGGTAAATAAATTATGACAGATTTTTTGTTTTTGGAGGAACTATCCCTTTAAGTGTTGATTGTCACATAGTGTTATTATCCTACAGATGCATTGGCAGAACACAGGACATCCAATTTACATTTGTTCTATTATTTGATAGCACAAATTCAAACTGGTGATGTGACTCACTGTTCTGAACATTGGGGCCTTTGAATTTGAAATGCACCCAAATGAACATCATTTCACATCTTTCTTTTTTCTCCTTAGAGCTCTGTGTGTTGGCAGAAGTGCTGTAGGGTACTAAGATTTCATCAGAAATGATGAAATAATGAAATCTCATTGAATTGCAGCACTATAACATCAAGGGGAGGTAAGAAAAGACAGGATGCATCCCTTTGAGAATTAGTTGACAAGTTTTTGAACAGAAAAGTGAGAGAAAATGAATGCACAGTAGGACAATATGTAAGATATGAGATATCAAATTGTGTTCTATTGTTCTTCTTAGTTCTTATCTGACTTTTTAAAAACTTTTTTAGATAGGTTATAAAATGGCAAAAACAGATTTACAATGACTGAATGTTCAGTCTAGGCATCATGAAGACAGGTGTGCTCTAATGAACATATTTAGGGATCACACTATCATAGATAACTTGAAAGAATCATGTAATTTAGTAATGTAGTTTCAATTCAAGTAAAACAATTTCTTAGTGTGGGAAATATTGCCTTCCACATGTATGGTATGTATGGGCGATCTCTCGAATTCAGTTCAATTTCAATTTATTTATAAAGCACAACTAAACACAGCTACCGTTGACCAGTGTGCTGTACAAAGTAAGTAACAATTAACAGAATTAAAACATTTAAGATAAGGTCAGAAATAAAATGGCAATGCAAATGATGAATAATAAGCCAGATCAAATAAAAATGATTTTAACCTAGATTTAAAAATAGATAGTGTAGGGGCGGTTCTGATTTCTGTAGGAAGACTATTCCAAAGTCTCGGAGCAGCTACGGTGAATGCTCGATCACCACTAGACTTGAGTCTGGTTCTAGGAACCACTAAGAGTCTTAAATTGGCAGACCTAAGCGCTCTTGCAGGTTGGTGGTTTATCAACAGATCAGAGAGGTATGAGGGTGCTAAATCATTTAAAGACTTAAAAACCAATAAGAGCTTAAATTAATTAAAAGTTAATCCTGTAGCGCACAGGTAACCAATGTAAAGACTGAAGTACAGGGTAATATGCTCACGCTTTCGAGCTCCTGTCAGGACTCTGGCAGCCGCATTTTGAACCATCTGAAGGCGGTTTAAGAAAGATTGACTGATCCCCAAATAAAGAGAGTTACAATAATCAAGCCTCGTGGTGATAAAAGCATAGATTACTCTTTCAGAATTAGTAAAAGAAAGAAAGGACTTCATTTTAACCAGTGTTCGCAACTGATAGAAGCTTGACTTCACAACTTAGTCAACTTGTCTATTAAGGCACTGTCCAACACCACACACAGATTTTTCACGTACGGCTTTACATAAGGTGCCAGAACACCAGGATTTAGATTTGGTATACAGTGGCTACGTTTACATGCACAATTTTTGCTTCAATCGGACTGAATTCATTCCAATTGATGAATCTGAATGTAGTGTTTACATTAACGCTAAAAAAGTGATCGGGTTGATGTGCGCGTTTATATGACACAAGTTTCAAATCGGAAATGTATTTATTTTTTACATGCGTACACTGCACAAATATAGAGTTTCTCACTGTTTGCACATAATAACCACTCTCCTACACGGTTTCTTTGTTTTTAACAGCAGAATTTATATTTAGCCATTTATGGATAAATATACATATAGGCCTAAACCGCTGTGCCGTGCTGCTCATATTTATCACGCAGTAAAAATGCCCCTCCCCGTGCCCAAAACGGGTTGCCTGTGGATGAGTCACAGCTGCCGAGTGCAGGGAGAGTTTTATAATGACAGGACACGCATTTATACAACACTTTATTCAAAAGGAAGAGCCTCTTCGTTCCGCGCGTCATACGTCATTACGCTATTTCTGCATCATTACACATGTGCAGTCCTTTCAGTTTCGGGGTTCAATCCGATCGAGTGTTTACATGCACTCTCAATCGTATTAGAAAAGGAATAAACCACCCCTTTCAATCCGATCGAAATTTCCCAAACGCTCATTCGGATCAATTAAGGTGTTTACATGAAGGCTTTTCAGTCCGATTGAGCCGTCAATCCGATTACAAACTGATTATTTGGTTGCATGTAAACGTAGCCAGTGTGTATCAGAAGGAGGTAAACATCATGATCTCTGTTTTACTCTCATTCAGACTTAAAAAAATGTAGGGACATCAATGCTTTAACATCCAAGAGGCAGGAGGCCACCAGGTCTAATCCATTCTTATGTTTCAAAGGAAGATATATTTGTGTGTCATCTGCATAACAATGATAACTTATACCATATTTCTCAAAGATAGATCCGAGGGGAAGCATATACAAGGAAAATAACATGGGAGCTAGAGTAGAGCCTTGAGGGACCCCACAGGCCAAAGGTACAGAAGAAGAGTGAAATTTGCCAATATTAACTGAGAAACACCTGTTCGTAAGATAAGACTGGAACCAATTTAGGGCTGAACCTCTAATGCCCACTACCTGTTCTAAGCGGGACAGAAGAACATTGTGGTCTACAGTGTCAAAAGCAGCGCTCTGTAGTACTTTTTTTGGAAAGTCAGTTAGCCTCAGTAAGTGATGGAAATCATTGGATTCCTGCCAGATGAAATGAAAGCCGTGCATTGTGCCCAAAATTGAGTTTCAAAAATGATGGTCCGGGATAATGAGGTTAAATTACCCAGGTGCAATGCTTCCATGAACTTTATGCCCAGCCACTGGTAGAAATCATTCTATGCCATCTTTAGACAAGGCCCAATTTTTCTTATCATTGTCACTCATTTAAATACGACAGGTTTTTGGATAGATACTGGTAAAGTCAACATGAAATGATGTCTGTAACATTTTTAATACAATAATGTGTCATTACAAGACAAAATGTGGGACAGGACATAATTTTATCCATCTGAAATTAAATGGCTTGTGAAAAGTGGACCTTAGGTTCTAGAATAGATCCTGATGATTGAAGAGGATATTTTTCTCTTTTCCTAAAAAGAAAAGTTGTAAGTTGTTTTTAATAAAGATATTCATACTTTTGCAAAGACCTATTAAATTGATCAAAATGGCAGTAAAGACATTTCTAATGATTTTTTTTTTTTTTTTTTTTACTTTTTATTCATCGAGGAATCCTGGAAAAAAATGTTTCAAGGTTTCCACAAAGATATAAACACTGATAATAATAATAAATGTTTCTTGAGCATCAAATCAGCATATTCAAATGATTTCTGAAGGATCATGTGACACTGAAGACTGGAGTAATGAAGCTGAAATCTCAACTTTGCCATCAGGAATAAATTACATTTTAAAGTATATTCAAATCGAAAAGTTTTTTTAAATTTTAATAATATTTCATAATATTAATGATTTGTTATAATTTAAATCAAATAAATGTAGCCTTGATGAGCATAAGGACAAAAGCATAAAAAAATTGTACTGCCCCCAAACTTTTGAACAGCAGTTTTCGAGAAGAGATTTGATCTGATGAATGTGTGTGTTATCAATAGCCTGCTGTTCTCACACATGTGCTTTTAGCTCGTTGAGTCACCACTCACCATAATGACTGAACGCTGGCGGTCTGTTGCCATGTCAGTATGTAGGAGGAAATGGGGACATGATGACAGACGTATCACATCTATACTCATATACCCTCAGATGGATCTCAGCCCGGACTGTGACCGTTTAGCATTTAAAGGGTCTTTGAATGTCCTTGATTTTCTCATGTAAACGCCATATTTCAGGTTGCTATCTCCGTTTCACTGACCTTTAAAGGTCAACAAATTAAGGTGTTTCTGTTATATAGGTTTCATAATATTTCCATCACTGAGAAACGCTGCCGGAGCTTGTGACAAAACACACTTGCTATTGTTTTCCTCACACACTGCTTTCTAAAAGCTCACTGTGAGGAAAAAAAACAGCAGTCTTCAAATAATTATCTAATATTGCACTGTAGGCTTCAGTAAAGAGTGATCACAATATGAGATGAAATATTGATGTCTGCAATAGATCTCTGGCAGCTGAAATCTTTTTTTTGTACTCTAACAAAATGCTCTTCAGCGTAGTTTTTTACCTTTTACGGGCCGTTCTTGGACTGATTTATGCAACGTACTGATTGGTTGGAGGTGATAGCTGTGTGATTATTGCTTGATTAAGGGATTTACTAGTCTTACTAGTAACATTATATAGTTTTAGTTTGTAATGAAGACAACTGAAAAGCTCACAGACTGTTGGACATAAAGCCTTACATTTAAAAGTTTTGCTATGTGACGTATTTCAGATTGAAACAGGTTGTCCAAATAAACAATGTCCGTTAGATTTGATTTTGTCAATTGACAAATCATACATACATATATATATATATATGTATATATATATAAGTTCATAAGTTTGGGGTCAGACTTGATTTTGTCCAGTTATACAAAGTGGTCTCTATATTAAAATATATATGTGTGTTTATTATATAATACTGTTCTTAAGTTTGGGGTCAGTAAGATTTATTTATTTATTTTTACTTTAAATTTTTTTTTAAATATATTTATTTATTTGCTTTCTATACATCAAAGAATCCTAAAAAAAAATGTACATATATTTTAGGTTGTAATAATATACCACTATATTACTGTTGTATTTTCAAAAACATGAGAAAAATCATGCCACCCTCAAACTTTGAACAAGGCGTACATGAATATATTTTTACTTTTTTGTGTGTGTGGAAACTGGTGCATAATAAAACCAGGAATGTGCATTTTATAAGTGAATATTACTAAAATGAATTTGCACTGCTTTTATTTTGTTGTAACCACAAATTATATAAATGAACTGTATTTTGGCCGTTGGTTTGCTGCTGCTTTTATTCGGATCTGATGGACCAGGGACACGTGCAGGTTGGTAATGGAAATGGGAAATGTTCCCTGAAGCAGATGCAGTTATTAGTAAATGGGGCAAAGTCGGTTCTGAGTGCATGATGGGCTGTAAGGACTGTATATGCTGATTAAAAAACCGTGCTGGTTAAAATTGTGGTTGGATATGTATGTCAAAGTTGCCCAGATTCTCTCAGTAGGTTTTCCATTTAACATCAGTTTGCCTGGTAAACTACCAAACAAAGTGGAACTGTATATTTTGAAAAAAATTGGTCTGTTATATGAGTACTTCTATAATTATACACATTCATGCTCCTCTTTTGTTCACATCAATTATCCCTTCACGTACTTTAAAATGAGTCACTGTAACAACATCGCTGACCCTGCTGTCCTGGCCAGTGTTAATGTGATTGCTTTATTGTGTGGAATTGGCATCGTGGATGATATTGATGCTTATTTCAGAGTCTCTGCAGGTTCTCAATGATGACTCATGGAGTTATAAGAAACTGTTGCATGTGGTTGAACATCAGAAATGTGTCACAAAATGTAGGTCAGTGTGACGGTCTGGGATAAACCACTCTTGCTCCCTCGTGGCTCTTGCAGACATGATAGTTGGGAAATTAGATCTGCTGGAGGCAGCTATGATAGGTATCAATAGAGAATCCCTGCTGATATAGTCGGACGTCGGAAATAAAACACCCTCTTCCGTCGACATTGCACCTTTTCTTTAATCTTCTGCCAGATCCACCTCTTTAATCCACCTTTCAGATAGATCATGTAGAGATCCAGATGGATATGTTGGGTCTTTACCCTTATTGGTGTTAAAAAAAAAAGCAGAGACACTAAATTCATCAGGAAGAAGTTCATTATTCAACAGTAATATTATAGGCCTACATTCTGTTTATATAATTTGTTAATAATATTGTGTAATATATCATTTTTACTGTACATTAATATTGTCAAAAAATAAGTATTGCTTTTATAATGTGTGTGTATATATATATCATAAAATTAATACATATTTTTGACAATTTTAATGTAAAAGTACAATGTATATAATTTAATGTATTTATTGTATATATACGGTAGTTATCATAAAGGGGTGAAAAACAGCACGTTAGGGAAAGTTAATGTAAATCAAACGAAGGTTTTCTCAGTACCTTCAGTATTCAGTGGCACAGTTCTTATTGGCCCTCACTACTTTTATTTCCCTCACAGCAGGTTTTCTTCCTCCCTTCTGAAACCACTCTCTCGCTTTTTATCATCTGTTAAACCTCTGCAGTGAAACTTTCCAGGCCACAGTCTCGGGAGCAAGTTTTTGTGTATCTGAGCAGAAAAGTGCAAGGACTTGTTCTTCATAAAGCTGCTCTCTCCTCTCAGACACGATCAAAAGCTGATTTCAAAACTGCTGTATTGTGTTTAAAGTCTTTCCACGAAAGTTGAACATGAACAGCTTGAAACATCTTTAAAAAAACGAATGGAATGTTTTATTCTTTCTACTCTGAATTACATTTTTCTCTGTAATTCTTTTATATTCTCTCTCTTACTTTAGTTTCTTTCTTTCTGTTTTTCTACAGTACCTTTCTCAAACGCACGTTTAAAAACTCATTGTCTCAGTATCAATAGATGGCCTGATTTCACATTAAAGCTTGTCTAGTTCTGTCTGTGAGATGAGAGCAGGACACAGTTTCTTCCCGCAGTGGCTGTGAGCCCATCCCGTCCCAGACACTTTGGCAGAACCACTGCAGAAATCACCACATCAACTGTCACATTATGAACATTAATCAAACCCTATTGATTGTGCACTGATCGTCTATCAGTGTTGCCCTCAGATAAGATTTCATCTCTTTTCCAGTTAATTTTGATTGTATAGTTGATGTGAATTTGTACATTAAATGTGTGAAAAAAATCATTTATAAATTAAAACAAAAATATGATATAATGTAAGAGAACAAAAACAAGTGAGGGAGTACAGAGGGGGGGAAAAAAACTTTTTCTTTTAAACAAAATTGTAATATACTAAAGCTAATGGAGGTTTTTTTTTTTTTTAAATGATGATAAAAGTAAATGTAAATCAGAAGCAAATACTTTTACAACTGGGCGAATGTGTCAGTTACCCATCATACAAGTAAACTTTATCTAGCTCCTTATTGCCAGAAACATTAGAGTGAAAAAGAACCTTAATGACAGAAATATTGCACATCTGTAAAAACAAGAAATATGGATGCGGAAATTTGAAATCAGAAATGTTTGTGAGAAAAGTGTGAGAGAGATTCTTTCACCGCTTTTTTTCCCCCTACAGTGAATATTTCTCATGGTATGATTATTTTTTACAAGTTTCTGTACAGACACAAACTTTAAAATCTTGGCAACAGTTCCCACAATGGGAATCTGCTATTGAACAGCATATCATAGGCTTTTCAGCAAAATTTAAATGGTAAGACATTTATGTGAAAAAAGTAATGAAACAGGTTTTGTTTTCACTTTTTCTCCCCAACAACTATTGAAATTAGAAT